GGGGGGGTGTCCTAGGGGGCTTCCCCTGCCCCAGTGCAGAGCTCTGCTGCGAGCCTGCAGCGGGGGGCAGCCCCACACACCCGGGACTGGGAGATGGGGTGAGCAGGGCAGGGTGCCACCGTGCCGTCCCCCCCCTCCCTGGCTCCAGCACTGCAGGCCCCCCCACCACCACCCCACACTGTGCCCACAGGAAGGCTGGACTCCCCCCGGGCTGCAGCTGTGCGGGGCTGCGCTCAGTCTGGCAGGAGGCGCTGAGCTCTGCTGGCGGGCGGGCGCCCACAGTCTGACCCTGCGGGGAGGAGCGGAGTGAGAGCCTGGTGGCAACCCCCCCCCCCCAGAGGGTGCAGGATGGGGACTGGGCGGGGGGAGATTGGGGCTCACCGTTGCTGGTGCCTCCCCCCAGCCGCTCGCTGGGGCTGGTGGGAGTCATCTGCCCTCCTGGACCCTCCTGGCTGGTTCCCAGCTGCAGCTTCCGCATGTGTCTCACCACCGCCGTGGCGTTGAAGGCTTGCTGCCAACCCCACAGCGTCCGTCACCCAGGACAGGGTGCCCAGGGTTGGGGGGGGAGGGGGCCCTCTGCACCCCCCAACACTCCCCGCATCCCCCCGACACCCCACGCTCACCTTCCACTTGCTCTTGGCAAAGTTCTTCTTGATCTGCTCGCTCACCGACTGGTGGATGTTCTTGTCCAGGGCTGTGTCCCCAGCGATCCTGGGGTGGGAGGAAGATCAGCGGGGGGCCACTTCCTGCCCCACGGCTGCCATGGGGGGAGCTGGGGGAGGGGAGATGGTGTCAGGAGCCCTCTTACCAGGGATGCTGCAGGGCCTGCTCACAGGTGAAGCGCTTGCTGGGGTCCTTCTCCATCAGGTGCTGGATGAAGTCTTTGGCTGGGACAGGCACAAAGCAGCCATAAGCACCTGTACCCACCGTCCCCTACCCTGGCCATGATGCCACCACGCTGGCATCCCAGCCCCCACCACCCTGGTGGTCCCGGCTCACCCGAGTCTGAGATGTCATCCCAGTAGGGCGAGTCGAACTCGTACTCGGCCCGCAGGATCTGCTCGAAGAGCTTGGCGTCGTTCTCGTCGTAGAAAGGGGGGTAACCGCAGAGCCTGGGGGGGGGGCAGCAGGGAGGGGGGGTGTTGCATGGCCCCAGTGGGCTGAGACCCACAGAGGGGGGGG